ATAATGCACTGTCCCCAGTACAGCACAAGCATCAATTAGGAGAACTGCTTGTAAGTTAACTGATTTGATGACTGTGTTCTGTTTGAATGTAGCACTTATCCTCAGAAACCATAGATATAATGTTTTAAGTCAAGTAAATACTTGAAAACATTGTTGATAAGGTAACTTGGCAACAAATTAATGTGGAAATTTATTAAAAACTTATATTGATTTATTATTTTGGGTAATTTTCTAATTAAAACATCAAACTAGGCACAAAATGATTATCCTGTCTCTTCTATAGGGAAAGATACAGCAGATATACAGGATTAGTAAACCGAACCAGCATGATCGGACCATGGGAACGGGGTTTTACGTGGGGTTTTATGGGGTAAAAATTTTAATTTTTGACCCTCTAAACGCAAAATTTTCCAATTTCTCTTCAAACCTTCTTAAAGAGCTTAAAAGAACAAATAATTTAGTATATCAAAGTGTTTTTGTACCATTATTAGTTACGGAGAAAATACAAATAATTAATTGTTATTTTAAAATTCACATGTTATTCTTGATTATATTTTATATATTTTTTATATTAGGAAATATTTGATCAAAATTGGTAAATTTATTTATTTTATACTAAGTTATTAATATTTCACAAAAAAAACACTTTTTTACCCTCCCTGTAGCAGCAAGCCTAAGTACTCATAAAAATTAATGTTAATTAAATACATTTAATTGAAAATCAATTCAGGCAACTGGAAATTCGCTTAGTCGGCAGGTTTGCTGTGGCGGGGGTATTTTATTACTAAGATAATCAATTATTGGTATTCTCTGACCCTTAAAACATAAAATTAGACACAAAAATTATTATCCTGTCTCTTCTATAGGGAAAGATACAGCAAATATACAGTTTTTACGCCATCTTGAATATTTCAATTTGCTCAAGGGTGACAAAGTGGCACCTTGCAGATTTTAGTTATGTAGGTCTTGAAGAAACAGAAAACACCATAAAACTTCGGGTGGACCTTACTTCCAGGTTTTTTGACCGGCAACCAGACTATTACAGATGTAGGTAACATAGGATGATATCAAAAATAATGTATTACTATATTTTATGCAACGAAAATACAGTAGCACAGGTAATAACATAGACTATTTTTGTTTTGATGTGTGTTACGGTTACGTTCAAGAATTATGATATTTTTCTTTTATTTTAAAGTGCATTTCTCACTGTCCGCTATACTGTTAAAATATAATAATAATAATAGAAAATAAGTGTTTGGTGAATCGAAACACATTCTAACTATGCTGGAAAGTATCAAAGTTTTTCTCAGGTGATCCAAAAATGGTTGTTGGATAAATAAAAAATGTTAACCATGGCACAACGTTCTTTACGTAGTTCCACTAAGAAACTCCCGCGAAAATTATTCGTGGGAACCCCCCAAAAATGTTAACAACGATACATATAACGATGGGCTTTACGATATGAAAACAACCCTTTTCGTGTTCCTGGAGCTCGCGTGGCACATTTGTGTCACTGGCGCCTTGTATGGATTTTCCGACAGAAGATGCTACCTTGCGTGCTGACAAACTCGACAATTTACTTCAATGTACAATAAATTATATAGAAATAGCCGTGCCTGGCGCAGCCAGCCCCACTGGGTCGTTGGTTATAGGTTTGTATGACTGACGTCCCCGGGTTCCTTCTGGTGATTGGCTCCTCCAACTTTGTCTCTTCGATCCTCTGTTATGATAAACTTTTTACATCCTGCTTCTGTAATTGAGATAATGCACTGAGACATGCATGGCATGGAGGGGGGTTGACGTTTTACTGACTTCCATATGGTGTGTAGGACACGGGGATTTGAAAGTATATGAGAGTTTTATTTTAAAGTACCAAATTATATAAAAAAAATATGAAACAATTCAGTTATAATTATTGATTTTGTTCGCGAATATTTACTAGTTATATTGATTTTATAATTTCCCCCTGTTTCGGTTGCTCACCTATTGACAAAATTGACGTAAATATGCACCTTTAACCCTCCGAGTGTCACGTGTTTTGGCCTTAATGTCAGCCTATTTTTTGCTCATTTGCAAGGTTTTATTAAAACTGATCTGAGAAGCTTAAAAACAATGTTAATTATACTGTTCTATATACCATTTTGTTTGGAAAATCTTGGGCTTCAATATTATATATAAAACATAAGGAAGATTTAAAAAAAAAAAATTTTTTAGGTAAAAAAATGTATAATTTCGAAAATTTAAAAAAAAATAAGTTTGCGCTCAATGAAATTGTATAAATTATAGGCCTATAAATATTTGAAAATAGCCACTTTGTTCTAAATTTTATGAGGATTACAAATCTATAATAATATAAGGAAGTAGATTTGCAAATAAAAAAGTTATGGGCAAAAAACAGATTTCAGTACATAGCGTTTAGCTAAGAATGCATAGCCTAACCATAGCTAGGAATCTGGCTGATAATTTACATCAATATTACTACCTACTTCTTCAGGATCATCAACCAGCACTTCAAAACCACTTAGATCTTCTTATAATGCACCACGTATATCACTACTTTTGATTTTTAACACTAAAACAATGATAAACGTAATAAAACACATCAGTCATCGGTCCGAGGGTAACCTAGCTGTTTACAAATACACGCACGTCAGCTCAGTCAGCTGTCTGCTACAATATTTTCGGAACTAAAATGAATAGTGCTTAGAGACAGACCTCTGCAGAAAGCTTAGAATATTACGGACAGAACGATACCTAACTCAATCCAGTACAGTCCGATTCAGTTAGTCATAGAGCCTTCGCCGTAAACAGTGTTCGCGAGTCGCTGCAGCGACGCACGACACTATACAAAGTGCGTTACGCGTCGCTGCAGCGACGCATGACACTCGGAGTTAAAGGGTTTCTAGTTAGAGGCCAGTTTTGGAAACTCTCAGAATTAGAGATAAATCATCAATCCATCAGGCATAAGATAATTTCACTACCCCAATCAGGCTGATATAATTTAATAGGTCCAGGAAGCAGAATCAAATTTGGTTTATAAAATAAAGTACAATAAATAAGTACCGAATGTTTTAAGTCAAATTAAACAATTAAAAGTAGTAAAGTAGGGGGGTCAGCTTAGCGGTACGCAGCGTTACGAAAAAGGGGAAGGGTTTTTCGAGATCGTTACGGTAACGCAATAGAAACTCAATTTATACAAAAGCCAAAATGATAAAATTATTTAAGAAAGTATTTTTTGGTGAACATATTTGAAATATAAATTTCAATTTATTATTATTTTTTGTGGTCTAGACCTGATTTTGAATTTCCAACTTCTGTTGGTACAAACTCCAAGCTCTGATCTCCCAGTCATAGAGAACACGAAAGAATGGATTCGATCACCCCGGGTAGAATACGAAATATGATAGCGAATACGATGAATCTTAATTTCGTACTGATAAATTATTACCGTACTGTAAATTTTGGTCAGAAGAGTCACAGTAAAAATACACTTAAACATGTAAAAAGTCTTTAGTATACAATTTCTGATTTTTGTTTAAATAGATGTTTCATATTTCATGTGTAGAACTTGATATAAAGGCCAAAAACAAATGTTATACCATGTTTTAATGTGGAGCAAATTTTACCTAGACTAATCGAATACCCCACAACCTCGTTTAAGAACATGTCTGAAAGCGTTACGTTACAAGGCGGTTGTGTGGCCGGGGGGTCAGGCTTGCGTTATGTAGTGTCACGGGGGACGGTTTAAAAATGAAAAAACGCATTACGTAATAATAATATATAGGTATATTAAAAAAGTAACACTAAAGTACCTAATACAGCCACAACACGACCACTTATAGACAAAACTCAATTTAAACCATTGAATATTTATTTGTCTATTTATTTGGCAAAATGTTAAGATATATCATAACAAACAGAAACGCATAATTACACTGCAATCAATGAAGTTCACTGTCAAAGATAATCAACCATACCTTGATCGTTTCTATTTAGAAACATTTTATTGTACATTGTACCATTGTTACACATAAATTAAACTTCTCAGTTTGTGACAATTTTTATTCAACGTTGGCAATACTTTGCACGTCAATCCAAAGACCCCACATAATTGGTTGAACTATTTGACCAATCACGAGTTGTCATACTCGTCGTCTGCCGCGCCGTGAGATTTTGTAATCATAACAAAAACAGAGCTTGTGGCTTGTATCCTTGTTTTATTCTATGTTATCTACATTTATTAATTATTGACGTGTGTAATGTGAAGTGATATGTTTTTATTTAATATCAAGTCGTGTTTTATAAATGTCCAGATACAGCAATAAGTAAGAAACCATTAAGTCTTAAGGTGGTTTACCTCTTCCATAACTGTTTTGTCTAAGTACCGGTACTGGTTCAAGATTATAAAACTTTTATGATATCTATATAATCATTGATAACCTACAAATAACGAAATGGCCACTCCCTATGCAAATAAATTCTATATTATTTCAAAAAATATCACATAATATTAAATAGAAGGAGTTTTCCCACTTCATCGGTAGTAAAGGACAACGTTTTACACTTGTCAGAATGAATTAAATTAGGCCTAGTTCACAGTGATAAAGATCACTAAGTTACTGTCTGTTGATTAATCAACTTTCAAGACTATCTGTAAGTTGTCTCAACAAGCAAACTATAACATATTAAATTTAAAAAGTGCAAAATCTATTGTTTCAGATTATAAACTTGCTGTTTATTATGCGTCTCGTCTATAAATAATGACAAGGAGGACTTGACTTAATCTTTCTCAGCACTGACTGGTGAGTTGTTATCGATGTTTTTTTAATTAACTTTATAGCAACAACTTAAACGGTTTTGCTAATTTTGTGATATGATATTTTTTGTAAGTTTGAATATTAAGTGCCACTTATAAACTTAAGTCGACTTAAATGAACACAGAACAGTTTTTATTCATTTCATACACAGTAAGATACTTTTCAATGTTTTCAGACATAATGGAAAACCCTCCTGATACGAGGCTTGATTTCCTCGGTAACTTCGTTCAAAAGACATTGAAGCTTAAGCCAGAAAAATGGGCACGACTATTGGCAACAGAGGAACTGAAAGTTGTTGTCATGGAATTTCTTGATAAGCCAGAGACAATTGTCCTTATTATCCTACAGGTTAGTTACTTATGAGTGTAGAATGAGTCTATATAAAAAAATTAGTTATTTGTGCAACTAGTGAGCAAAGTGAGCAATTGCCTCACTCGAGAGAAATCCTTACTCACAAGCCGTAGGCAAGTGAGGAATAATTTCTCGAGTGAGGCGATTGCACTTTGCACTCGAATTGCACATTATATTTTTCCTACAGTTACCATAAAACAAATAAACTGGTAAAGAAACGTGCCTTCACGTTGCAAATCTAAGATTGTCTCATTGATGAGTGAATTGGCCACTTTCGTGCCTTAACGTTGCAAATCTGGAGTGAGACAAAGTAATTAGAGTGAGACAATGTTAACATTGTCTCACTGATGAGCGAATTGGCCACTTTGCTTGATCTCAAATCAGTGAGAGAACATGTACATTGTTAGCTAACTGTAGGAAAAAGTAATTTATTTATTCAGATTTACTTTAGAATGCATTGGTTACGGTACGTTAGTTTTTTTTTCCAAGATGAGCTTGTTCTTTATATATGGGAATTTAAAAAATATGAAAGAAGTTAGATTTTCAACCTTCTGGTTTTTTAAGCTAGGCCTATTAAAAAGTTACCTAACCTTTTAAAATTATTACAACTTGCACTCAAATTTAGGTCATATTTAGGCCTATGCGACATTCTCCTGATTATTGGAGCATAACATTAAGAAAAGTAGAATCTGTGTTTACGAGAGATATTTATTTTTAAGAGGAAAATAACCACAAAACTGTATTTGGAAAAATGGTAGATTTAAACACATTTCTCAATTCATTTAACAGATATTTTCGCTTTCAAAAATAGAATCCAAGCTTTAACTTGCATTTTTATTTATTTGTAGTCCCAAACTATAATTTTCTGTTACAGAAATAGCTGCCAAATTTTCTTTGAATCCCTTTAGAATTCTAAAGCTTACTTTTGTCATTAAATAAATAACTTAACTTTTTCATTTAATTAACTACTTTGTATGCTGCCAGCCAGCTGATTTCCTTAGCACAACAAAATTCAAAGTTGTAGCCTACAGACAGTATCTTTAACTTTCAAAAGTATCTACGTATGAGCTTTTTTCCATTGCAAATTCTACCTTTTTAGCTGAAAAAGGTGGAAAACTTTCTATAAAAATATTCCAGCTCATTTTCACCAACCATAAGTATATAACCTTTGACTATTGATACAATGTATAACCTATTATTAGTTTATTTTGCTACACAGAATGCTGCAGCTCAGCTGATTCCATCTACTACTTTCCCAGTCAATCTCAAGAGCAAGGCAGCCTACTTCATCAAGAAGTCTAAACTGGTCGTACCAAAGGAGAATCTGAGTGAAGTTTTGATACTCGGTGACTTGGCCACTAAACCCATCGAACAGCTCGCCGTCCTGGTTGATGAGGTTTGTTGTACTTTGATTCAGGCCCGCTTTTATAAACGGGCAGACTGGGCATATGCCCAGGGGCGCCGGTGGTTGAGGGGCGCCTGGTGGGCGCCGTAGAACTACTACCCACCTACGAAAAAAAGGGGGCGCTGCTTTTGAGTTTGCCCAGGGCTCCTCTGACCCTTAATGCGGCTTTGATTGAGCATAAAAACCCTGATAAAATATGTAACATACGACTCGTTGTTTTTAACCAACAACACCGGTGCCTAATTTCACAATTGCATTGCTCTATTTTTAAACTTGTGTCAAAACGATAACAGCAGGCATTTAACAAGAAGTTGAGTAATTTTCAATTCACCAAAATAAAGTTTGGCGTTGGGGTAACCAATTTAAAAACCTTAGTATGAATTTATTAATAAGTGAATTGGCAGAATAGGACCAAAAATTGGTTTGCTATGTTTACTTTAACTAGGTAGTTGCTAAGTTGTGATGGGTAAAGCTTTTGCATCTAGTGATAAACCACTACCGTTACTCTATTATGGTTTATAGTTTGTTAAGTGCTGATAATGAAACAATGGTTAAATTTTGTTGTTTCAAAAATGTGTAATAAATGTTCACCATTAAAATCAACGTTACTAGAACTTAACTTTACTTGGAAGCCAAGTGGCCTCTGACTACTTACCCTGATACTTACTCTGATAGTACCTTAACAGTGCTTTATCTCAAAGACCAACAAACCAATAGAGTTGGGCAGGTAAGGAAAAACAATCAAAATAAAAACACAACAAACTATTACAGATATTCGTTCCTCTGCTGTCCAACCCAAGCAACCACAAGAACTGGCCGCCGGTGGTAGCACAGGACGTGTCGCAACATGTCCACTCTCTCAAGAGCACGGTACATCAGGTGAGAGGTCAGGTGTTGGGACAGACTGTACTGCCGATGCCCGTCGGCATAGAGCGAGTCCATGAAGCTGAACGAGAACTGGTCGAGAGGTAGGTGTGAAAAAGTCCATAGTGTTAAGTATAAAATCAGTAATAACCTTTTTGTTACTAACAAAATGTACTCATATGGCTGAGGTGTTTAGTCTGCTTTTCTTTAAGGCGGTAAAAAAAGCTCCTGATGTAAATACCCCTACTAAGTGCCCTACTAATTGAGTAAAGTGCACTTTTCAGAATCCTTTGTGTTGCGTCTTTAGTAGAACCTATGGAAACCTGGGTAACCGAAGTCCTGCGCTCTAACTACTAGACAAACTTGTTCGCTCTGGCAGCTAAAAGACATATGGTTATTGTCTAAATTTGAGTCTGAACCTCTGAACAAGTCCCTCAAGCTAATCACTAGACCGACTGCGCTCCTAATTTTTACATCATTGTTTCAGCAACGGAGAAATTGTTGATTTGTACCTCAAGTCAGCAATAGAAGGTGTGATAATCAAATGGGCCACTCAGATCAATGACATACTAACTGAAGAAAGCGGACAAGCGTTTGCCAACGGACAAAATCCAACACCTATTGCAGGTAAGTTTTAAAAGTAAGTCTGGCCCGGTAGAAAAATTTAAAATTTAAACCGGTAGAAAAGAGTTCAGACCCACCCCTTCTTTTTTAACATAAACAAAACTTGCACTTTTATCAGGTATAGACTGCAACATTTTACTGAATTGGCCCTATGTATATATTCTGTATTGAAATTATAACTGTTCTCCAGAAATCACCTTCTGGGAAGGAAGACTACGGAACCTTCAGTTCATCTATGAACAACTCCGAGATGAAAGGGTGTGGAAGATGGCTGTTATTCTAGAGCGAACAGACAGCGCTTACTTCCCCTGCTTCAAGAACATTTTTCGTAACATTGTTGCTGGTAAGTTGCTAGAATGTTTGCAATTAACTTGATTTTTTATTTGAATTCTGGTCTGTTAATTGTTGAACTAATAAGAAAAGATTATATGATATTACATGTGGTAGAGCCTTTGTCCAGCTAAATTTTCAAGTTATACACTAAGATTTATAAAAATCTTCACAGGTTTCTAGACACTAGACAAAAATATTGACACACTATGTTCATCTTCTTGACACACTATGTTCATCTTCTTGTCCCATAAGACAATCTGAAAATGTACATTTCTTCTTTTTCAGTGTTATTAAATTTTTACCTAAGCTTTGAGATTAGATTATATTTATATGACGCCAGTACAATGGTTTGCGTAGGTCTACTATAAAGAGAAAATGAGCGAAGACACTTTGCCAATCATGCTGAAATCCATCTCAATTTAAGTTCAACTGAGGAAATAGACATACTTTTATGGCGTTGCTCCTTGTCTAAAACCTCTGATAAAATAGGCCTAGCTTCTGTTTTTGTCTACAGCCCTGACAGAGGCTAAAGATATCTGCAAGTTCCTGAAGCCGCTGGCCAAACACTTCACGACGCTGGAGGAGACAGACTTTTCCGATGTCGCCCCTTGTCTCAAACCTCTGATGCACGTTGTGTGCCTGGTGTGGGCAAACTCCCGCTACTACTGCAACTCTGGGAAAATCATCATTCTGCTGAAGGAGATCTGCAATCTCATCATCCACCAGGTTTGGGTCTACAGACAAACTGATAAAGTTTTAATTATAATATTAAAAGCTATGAAGGAATTTCTAAATTGTTTCTTAGGGTTGACTACAATAAAGAGAGTCCTGTAGAATGTTTGAAAAGTTTAAACACTCTTGTTTAGGCTGTATGTTTTTTTAGTAAGTGAACTTTTTTACCAGGTAAGTGTAGATCTGTTCATAACAGTAAGAAAGTGTTGGTTACCAGATTAAAATGCTTTGTTGCTTTCTTACACTACATTTTGTGGTTACCTGAGGAGGCACTTTTAAGAATAACCTTAAATATATAATTTGGGACAGTCCTTATCATTGAATAGTCACTTATGACTATCAGTTCACTATCAGTTCATTGTGCCACTTAAAAAAAAATAATATTTTGATTCAAGATAGACTCACAAGTTAACTCATCGAATTTTGATTGTTTCAGGCAAAACGATATTTGGATCCTTCGTCAATATTTCAAACAGATGTTGATGAAGCGAAGCAAAGAGTTCAGTTGTCAATAACGATAATGAAGACATTCAGGTACAAAAGATGTGTCCCGGTAACATTTTGATATAGTAAGCCTATCAAATACGTTGCATGTTGTAATACTTTAAAATATTTGGCAAATGAGATGATTTACTTATTCTAATTTTTTAGTTCAATAAGAATTAATTTCTGAGCCTCCTAACAGTTGCCTGAAAACCATTGTGAATTGTGTGATAAGTTGAAGTAAAATGTTACAGGGAAATATTTGACGAGTACAAAGACAACCTTATTCCGTTCTTCAAGGATCGTCAACCTCAACTATGGACATTCCATCCGAACGTGATCTTTGCACGATTTCAACTATTTCTTGACAGGCTGCATACCATCCAGGTTGGTTAATCTTCAGTATGTTTCTGTAATTTATTCTTTGTAGTTAAAAATTTAAAAGAAGAATTTTTTTTTCTATTTTTTTTTTGTGGTTTCAATGCATGTTGCACATGCATAGTATAGATATTACCTTTGCTCTTTGCACTCGTTTGGTCAGTTGTACTGGCCGCATTGTTGGAATCAATGGATGTTAGCGAATTTCCCAATAGGGAAGTAACTATTACCGTAGGTCTCACGGTAAGACCTAGGCCCGGGACCGATTTACTTTTTAATTTTGATGTCCCCAGAGACCAAAAAACCCATTTGTTCAAATTTATATATGTTTTTCCGTCTAGACGATAACTTGAGTAATTTGTGTCCGATTTTGATAAAAGTTTGTTTGAAGGTGTAAGGCGGAATAAACTTGAACGAGTCTGCAAACCAACGTGATCGGACCATGGGAACGGTGTTTAACCGTCATTGTTTTATGGGGTAAAAATGGGTTTTTCTATTTTTTTTTTTTTTTTACCATTAAAACACATTTTCTCTAGACCTTTTTAAAGAGCTTAAACAACAAAATATTTAGTATATCAATGTGTTTTTGTACGGCAATTGGTTATGGAGAAAATTAAAAAAAAATTTAATTTAAAATTCCCATGTTATTCTTATGGAGAATATTGTAAAATGTTGTAGTTGGCTTTTTTTTGGATATATTTTGTTTTGATCAAACTTGGCGGATTTATTTATTTCATAGTTCATACTAAGCTATTGATATTTTAATACAAAGCACACTTTATTAGTTTCCCTTTAGCAGCTAACCTAGGTGCTCGTTGAAAATAAATGTTAATTTAATAAATTAATTGAAAATCAATCCAGGCAAAAGGAAATTCGCTTAGTCGGCAGGTTTGCTGCAGCGGAGGTATTTTTGTTTCAACAGCTCACAATGTATTATCATTCAGCCGACATGACATTATTTTCTGTTTTAGAAACAGATGTTTTCACTTGTGCTGCTAATCTAATAATAGTGTCTAAAAAAAATTTTTCTTGGAAAGAAAATTGATGTTTTAGTGGTTCTTCGACACAGTCCTGGAGTTCATGAAGCTGGAGCGTGTGGAGATCGGAGGGTTGAAAGGACGGGCTCTCAGCTCCAGGATTCTCCAGGTTTCTCGGGAGTTTAACGATCACTTTACCGTTTTTGCCAGCAAGACTTACGACGTCCTAGATCCTGAGGATCCTTCCTTCCTCATTGACTACGAGGCCTTCCAAGGTAACATTGAGGATTTGGATCGTAGACTTGCCTCCATTCTGTGTCAGGCGTTTGACGACTGCTCCAACCTTGAGAGCGTCTTTAAGGTAGGAATTATAGAAATGGTGTTTGTTTGATTTAGTTTTTTAGCAGAGTTACTTAGTATCAAAATTCAGGTATACAGCATACATATAATGTTTTTAGGAGTTGTGTAACATAGTTTTTCACAGTAATCAAATATATATTTGGTTAATTTTCATCCAGCTTGAAAAAAAACTTTTCAGGGCTGTGCGAATCCAGAAATTTTGGTTCGAATCCGAATCCGAATCATAGATGTACAGATGTTATCGAATCCGGATCGAATCCGAATATTTTAATTAATCCCGAGTCGAATCTGGGTCGAATCCGAATCTCAAATTTACAGCCATTATCAAACCTGGATCGAATCCGAATCTGAAATTTAAAGCTGTTATCGAATCCGAATATTTAAACCTGTTCAGAGTCGAATCCAAATCCGAGGAAAGTCAGCAGTACCAATTTTCACATTTTTAGACCACATTTTCTGGGGCTGAAATAATTTAGGGAATTGCTTAAAAAAATTCTTGAAATGGGCCAAATAAAAAAGTTATAAAATTTAGGCCTACCTATTTGAAGTTTTGAAACTAAAAAATTGGGCATAAGTTAGGCATACCACCTAGGCCTAAGTTACTCGCTAAAAGTGATGGACTACCAATTTGTGTAGTCTAAAACATAGGCCCAGCCTATTATACACCTCGGTAATTAATCCTCCACACAAGCCTATGTCTGCATTACTATTACAAGTAACAACTAACACTGTGAGGTTAAGTTTACTGATAGCCAAGATAGGGTTCAAATGCGACCTACACTAATGTGCCTAAAACCTAACACCAAGTTGGTCAGGTTCCTAACATGAACCAGTCAACAGCAAATCGGAGTGCACAAGTAGTTTTTTAGTGTCTAAAAAATTATATTGAAAATTATATTCAATCAGAATCTAGTAAATTTGAATATCGAATCCCAACTGTGATCTATTTCCAAGAAATTCGAATATCGAATCCGAACCCGGATCTCTTACCAGTAAATTCGAATATCGATTCCGAATCCGAATCCAGTTAGAAACAGTAGATTCGTTCTCGAATCCGAATCGAATCTCTAAAAAGATTCGGATTCGATTAGTTTTTCGAACTATTCGCACAGCCCTGAAACTTTTACCTAGCTTAAGTAGTTTTATGTGCAAGCATTTGATTGTCAAGTTCTACTGCTTTTTATTACAGTTAATTGAGATTGTTGGCTCGGTACTGGAGCGACCTCTGATCAAAGATGAGTTCACTGGGAAATATCAACTGATTGTCAACATGCTAGAACACGAAATGTCTACTTCAGAGGTAAATAGCAACTCAATCTTTTGTAGGATTTATCATATATCAAGCCTTTATTGAGTTTTACTAAATATATTGATACTGGCATCGATTGCACAACAAGGATCACAAGACCTATTGTTTCCTTGCTTCTTAGATCCAGAGTTTTCTAGAGCCCTCTAGGCTTAGTAAAAGGTTTTTGTGGGTTATAACCTTGTAGTAGTAGAAAATGTGGTTCTGTCCCCAAGGTCCCAGTTTCAAATTCTAATCGCCAATTAATTTTTTCTATGTGATGATGCCGTGACCCACTAGACCTAGGCAACTTGTGTAAAATAATTTTGGGTGAGAACTTCTACTAGGTGAAGGTAGGACTAAAAAATGTGTACAATACAATTTGTTTACAGGAATTGTTCAATGAGCAGATGGAAGAGTTCATGACGACAGGCCGGATGCCGGTGGCCAAAAACATGCCTCCTGTGGCTGGCGCATTACAATGGACGGCTCAGCTACGCCAACGCATCACGCTGCCCATACATAGCTTCAAGAGTCTCGACCATGTGTACGAAACTCCTTATTTGATTTATTCAGTTCTATACACAGGGTAGAAGATATCTTCCATGATAAAAAATTTACAGCTGCATTAGTCAGTAGTATTTTTTAGAACTACAGTAGAGTCCCGCTGTTCCAAACCCCGCCATTAAAAAAAACCTTTTCTGAACTCAAGCTCAGACATTTTTTTGTTGTTTTTTTGGATGTTAGTACAGTATAAAGCTAATGATATTGAAAGCACGTTTTGCAGTCACAGCAGAAACTAGAACATCTTGCTTGGTCAAGGCAAAACTGTGATGATCTTCCGTGATTGCAGAGACATCATCATCGCCTCCTACAATCACAGCAAAACAGTGAATACCTGCATTCAATTATCAATGCGATCGATGATTGATTATTATAGAAATCTGTTTATGTCAAATTCTTGCAATGACAAAAAGGGTTTAGTCTCGGTTAGTTTGTAATAGTGGGACTCACTGTTCATAATCTTTTCCTACCATTCCAATGAGACAAACGAGAAAAGGGGTTTGACTCAAATCGGTAGGAAAATAAGACTTCTTTTCTATTCAAATTCTTTCACTCATAGACAAAGTCAAAGTCAAAACATTCTTTATTCATTGTTTTGTGGCGTAAGTACATTGAACATGCGACATTTCTTAAAACAATTAAAACTAATCCTTATAATACAATTTCTGTCAATAAGTACAATAATGTTAAAAACACCATCATTTCTGTTGGCAAATATTAAATTTAAGGTCGTTATTTTAAAACTCATCTAGTGAGTATAATGCTCTCTCAACTAGGTGATCTTTTAATTTTCTCTTAACCCTTTGAGTGCCAACGTCCAGGGAACCGGACGTTTTTAAAACGAGCCAAAAGTGCCGACGTCCGGCCGACCGGACGTTTTTAAAACGAGCCAAAAGTGCCGACGTCCGGCCGACCGGACGTTTTTAGAACGAGCCAAAAGTGCCAACGTCCGACTGACCGGACGTTTCGTAATGATCGAACAGTTGTCATAACAACCGAATGGATACTCGGATTCTTTTAACCCATATATTAACATTGAGTCGAAAGTTACTAGATGCGATACATCGATTTTCGTTGGTCGAAATATCGAAAATTCGATTTTTACAAAATTTTAACCTAAAAATCGCCAGATCGCGCTCGGCATTTTTAGCGCGACCTTCGGGAAAAATCATCGGCATTTTTTGAGCGTTACCTTTATTTCTCGCCTGGCACTCTAAGGGTTAAATTTTAAAAACTCTTGATTTGTGTCTATTATGGTAGAAATTTTGTTTAAAAATTTAGATCCTATAATTTGGCTTTTTCTCAAACATTTTTAATCGGTGACTTTGCAACCTTATTTTTTTATTATTTCTTGTATTATAATACTCAATACTAATATAATATTATACTACTATATCATACTTAAAACAGTATTGAAATGTGTGAATTGGATTCATAAAATGTCTTTATAACATTCAAAATATTACCAAAAGGTCAATTTGTCATGACAGGATCGTCCAGTCGCCAGATGCCCAGGCTGTGCTAGAGAGATACGAGGCCCTGATGGCACTTCTGGCGGAGTTTGACCAGCGATTGTTTTCAGAGTGGGCTAATTGTATTCCATCGCAGATAGTTCGAAATCTCAAACGATCTTTACTCACTCGAACCAAGAACAACAGTGAACTGTTGCTCAACTTTCATAACCAGGTTTGCTATTTTTATGTCAAAATCCTACACTTGTAGTTTTTTTACTTAGAAGTGTGCCTCAGACATTTAGGTTAGTAGCCATATGAGTTAATGGCTTCTAGCAACATTAAAAATTGCAGCAGTTTTTGCTGTATTTTCTTATAGGGATTTCCTAGAAATACATTTAATGCATGATATAAATATATTTCCGATAACGGGCAAGAGAATAAAACTATTTTCATTACATTTTCCAAGTTATATAGTGTTGGTTTAAGGTAATTTTCTTTGATTTAATTTAAATGACTCTTATGAAGCGTAATTGGTTTCTAAAACCTTTTCCAGCTCACAGCAATTTTACGAGAGGTGCATTATCTTCAACTTGCGGAAAAAGAAGAAATACCTGAAGAAGCGTTGAAGCTCTATGAGAAAAGAGATGTTTTTAGAAAGTACACCGTGCAACTCAATTTGACAATCGACTGGTAATCTTTTTCTATAATAATTATTGCTATCGTATTCATATTATTGAAGTTCTATTCTTGGGGTACAAGCCCGTGTTCCCACGACAAGCTAGGGAACTCAAGTGGACCTGGACAGAGCCCCGCATGCCCATGTAAGGCTGCTTACTGCTGGAGGGCGCCTGGTATCCTGCAGGTACCGTTCAGACACCATACAAAAGAGGCCTGGTGCCACCCCTCAGCACGGTCCACTTAACACCTTGGGTTGAAATTAAATAAGGCGAACTTAGGACCTCATGGTCCTTTCTTACAGTTAACCTCTAAAAAAATAATAACATTAAAATACTAACAAAAAAAATACAATACAGTTTTTAACATAACAAGTATAAAACTATAAAATAGTATAATTTATTTCATCTTCCGTAGCATACATTCATACATACATAAACTCTCTCCTGCATCTAGGCTTAACGCACGCCATCCCGCCAAGCCACGGCCATCCGGTCAACGCGCCACCATCCTTTCACACTGAAGAAGATTAGGGATGGTCAAGTCTCAAAATTTCGGGAAATTTTCGGGAAATTTTGAATCTCGTTACACGAGATGAGATTACTTTTTGGCCGAGATTTTTATCGAGACGAGAATAATAAAAAAAAAAGAAAAAAAAAAATTAAAAACGCCTGCAGAAAGTCAATGCAATACCCGCAATACAGGAGCGTGTTGTAGTTGCGTTTCCTTTTCGAAGGCGTTCTTATTTAATTAATTCTTTTAATGTAAATATTACTTTAATTCTTTTAATGTAAATATTAGCCTACTTTCATTATTTTAATAATATTACTTTAATAACATTTGAGAAGTTTTGTTAAGTGTAAGCAGTGTGAGGAATGTTTTATTACTATAAAAAAAGTCAAAACAAGTAACTATTTTATAAAAATTAATATTGCTTTTATTTTATGATTTATTTTATTTTAGGATAAGTTGAACTCTATCCTAACTGATATCACCATGTTTCCTAATCGTAGGCATTTTTAATAAGTTAGGCGTGATTAATAAAAAAATGTTATGCTGATGTTATTTAATGAAAGATTGTAAATATTCTTGCCTATTATCATTATTTTAGTATTTAAACAGTCATCTAACAATGTTACAAAATCAGGTAAAAATTTCGAACGTGCATTTCTCGTTGTGTATGAGAAGAGAAATCTCGTCTCGATCTCGTCTCGAAATTTTATGAGAAATAAAAAATCCCGTCTCGTCTCGTCTCGTCTCGTCTCGAACTAAAAATCCAATCTCGTCCATCCCTAAAGAAGATGCAACGACTTCTACCTTTTCACATTAAACTCTTAATCGTCAAATCACTCCTGTTTCCACACTTCAACTACTGCAACACTGTGGTTAGTGATAGGATTTCATGATATTTTTTCACTATCCTTTCAGCGCCACCATCAGTCGGGATCGGTTTTCTATGAATTTAATGTGAAATGAAAAGGGTATCCCTTGCGCCTCTTTCATTCAAAAATTTAAAATTCTTTGCAAGACGATTTGGAATTCCAAGATTGATGGCCGAATGAGTAATGCAAAGTATTCATATTTTTCTGATGTCCTCCGATTTCAAAATTGATTCATTGATATAATAGGGTGTGACATGGTCATCACGCCTAAGATTGAACAAGAATCGAACACAATAATTTTGTACTCGTTGTAATTTTGTTGCCAAAGCCACAGTCAATATCATTAGTGTTGCAGTAGTAAAAGTGTGGAAACAGGAGTGATTTGACCAGTAAGAGTTTAATCGTTTAATGTGAAAAGGTAGAAGTCGTTGCATCTTCTTCAGTGTGTGAACAGCAGGATACACTCTTTTACAAGTGCTTACCACCGCGTCAGTCCAGTCCAATGTGTGGTTTAAAGCCAAACCAAGACTTTTTACTTTGTCCTGGTATTGCAAAGTGGTTCCACTTACAGTGATTTTTGGTAAATAGTCCAAGTCCAATTTGTTGAGTAACTGTTGGCCTGAGTTGGCCTGTAACAGAAGAAGGAAAAGGTGGGGGTGGAAGTTGAGAAGAAGAGAGCAGAGACATGAAAGATAAAGACAGTTGGTCCATGCTTGTGAAGAAGAAGAAAAAACATGGAGTAAAAGGACAGATCCTGCTCAGTTGAAGAATAGGGAGTCAGGGAGGCTGATTGCAATGGCTAGCCATTGGGCGATGGGATCGTCAACCCCTACGCCGAAAACCCTATACATAAACAGTTGCGTTTTGGTTTTATCCAAAAGGGAGGGAGTGGAGGGCCAAAAAGTGCCATTACTAGAAGTGTCACCAATCATTGCCTTTGGTTTTTTGTGTAAGTCTGTAGATCGAGGCGACTAAAGGATACAGTCTAAAATTACATTTTAATTTTAACACATTCACTGCTGCTGGGTCCCCAGTGACACATAACCTGCCGTAATGCTAGGTGGCTGCGTCACCCGGACACAGCGCGCAATGCATTGTTTGCCCAGTCAGTGTGGCTCAGGTTCTCGCCGGTTGGTTCGCGTTATTGTGTCTCTAATACCAGTCTATATTTGAAGTGTAGGTTGGCAGTAAATTTCCCCATAAAATCCCCTTCTGGCAAGGTTAGAAATCAACTTGTTGTCCAGTCTTTCTCCCTCGAATTGGCAATACAATCACTGCTATGTTCCAAGTGCTGCTATCTGTGGTTGTTTTATCAAAGTATGTTGACTGTTGACTCTCGTCGTAACGCACGTTATTTGCTATTTGTCAGACTGAAATATTTGAAATTCAATCGCCCGGCAATCGGGTTCGTTCGACGATGCGCCACACCAGGGCTACGAATGTGTTGACCCTTAGTTGTTGTTTCTTAGTGTAAAATAAAAGATGCTATATAGTGTACAATAAGTTGTAGTGGCACAAAAGTCAGCGTATTTGACATGAATCACTAATTATCATCAGTGACTTAATCGTTGACTCAACTCAAGTACACTAATTTTTACTAAACATTGGCTTCAATTTTAACATAGGAACGAATTTCTGTAAGAAAGGGTTCAGTCCTTATTAATTACGGTTTCCAGTTGACAGATTAATTTGCTGAAAAGTGTTTTGTGGTAAAAAATTTGTACGGATTAGAGAGTTCCTAGAAGGTAGTAAAACATTTGAAGAACAGGGCGAACAACGGATGTTCATCAGTTCCTATCGACAATGGTATGGACAATGGTTGAATTTGATTAAACTTTGCTTGCTTCACTGACCTCTTTCAGACATCCAAGGCTGACTGTAATCCATGAGAATCGGAATGCAGAATTCTCCTAACTTCAGTCACTGCTTCAAACATAACTAATGAAACAGCAGAAAAATATTTAAATCCACCTCCGAACTCACTACTCTGTTTGCGCAAAATATCAATGTTCATCACTTTACCTTATTTTCATCTATCAACTGGCAATAGACTTCAAATAAAATAAAATCAAATATTTCTTTATTCATAATATGTAAAGGTGTACTATCAATAGTCTCAGTCTTATTTCTAAGACATAAAAATAAAAATAAGTACATTAAAATTAGCCTTGTTACAATTTTAGTATACTTAAATCCTACGAACAACGCCATTTATTTGATTTAAAAATTGATTAATTGAATAACAAGTGTTCTCAATCATGAAAACTTCAAATGGAGTTGACGATTGAGACCACAGAAATTACTGATGTTTTTTTAATTAATGTCAGCATCGGATATGTTTCTTGTAATAAAAAAAAAACAGACAACGAAGCGTACATGACAGCTACAGAGATGTGTCATTCTGTTCACAAATGATGCCAGTAAATGGTTATGAGCCTCGTGTCGTACAAGCGAACTACGGATTTATATGCGAAATAAGCCCTTAATAAAAAAACCGCCCTTGTATTAAATCACAATCTTTATCTTACTAGTGTATACATGTATCATTGAACCAACACAGTTTAGCCATTAATCCAGCCAACTTAATACTGATAATACTTACCTCGATAGTGCAGATATTGCTTAATAATAATTCAAATATAAAAAGTTATAACAGTTAGTATTTTACAAACCTGTTGGAGTACTCCAGGTAGCCTTTTCTCAGTTTCTTGACTTCAGACTTCTCATTATGCTGTCATGATGATCATCTTCTAATATTTTTCACTTCTATCGTCTCTTTTGCCAGTGTCTTGACTCTTCAAATGTAGATCCAGATGACCTAGAACCACCCTCCCCCTGCTATTCCCACTATTCCCAGAGAAATAAAGGATCGTGCCTCCAAAAAGAATCAAGTCATTAGATCATCCATCCCCACGATGCCCCCCTCTAGCCTACTTCCCCATAACCCCAGACCCTGACTAGCCTACCAATATACGTCCCACGCCCTGACTCAAAAATGTAAACCCTCCCCCCTTAAACCCCCCAATAACCTACTATTTTTTTAAGTTCCCTCGTCCCTGTCTAGCCTACTTTATCCCCCTCCCTGTCTGAAATGGATGATCCAAGGACCTGTTGTATACTTCTCTATACAATAAACCCAAGATTATCAACCCTGAATTGTTACTTAATTCCCTGTAATTAACATGTAAATGCCCTACTTTTAAAGTAGTTTAGTAACAATTTTATTTTGCACTATGTCTTAAACCCATAAAATCTTTTTCATGATAAAATCATGTTTCTATAAAACTTTTTGTCTTTGTACATACACAGGTCATTAGAACTTCTGACTTTCGATGCCCCCTCTAGCCTACTTCACCCCATAACCCCGGGCCTTGACTAGCCTACCAAGATACATCCCACGTCCCTAAGTAAAATTTTGACCCTCCCCCCTTTACAACCCCCCTCTAACCTACTTTTTTTATACCCTCTCCCTGGCTAGCCTAGCAAGTTCCCCTCCCTGTCGTAGTCGGAAGTACAAATGACCTGTTCAATAACTTTGAAAAGATAACCTAAAAATCTTTCTGGTCCGTTTTTGTTCTCAATGAATTCCCTAGCTAACAACCCCCCAACCCCCCTCAAACCCACACACACTAA